CCCTGGGGCCCGCGCCGCGGCGGCCAAGGCCAGGCCCAGACCCGCCCCCGCCCCCGCCCCCGCGCCGCAGCTGGCACCCGACCCGGGCTGGGGCGACCGCATTCCGTTGGAAATCCTGCTGCAGATTTTCGGGCTGCTGGTGGCGGCCGACGGGCCCATGCCCTTCCTCGGCAGGTACCCCGGGCCCTTCGGGCGCAACGGCATGGCTCAGGCTGACCTGTTGCCACGAGCGGGTGGCAGAGGACGAAAGTGTCTGAGCGCGTACACATGCGAGTGAGAGAGCGCAGTCTCTCAGGGGGTCCAGTTGGAGTCCCAGGGGCCTGACTTTGAACTGAGCTGTCCCCTGCGTTGTTAAGAGTTGCGGCCGCCCATAGGGGGGCATCCGTCACAAAAGGCCCAGCACCTCAGCAGAAATTTTCTTCCAGGGCTGCACGCGTGTGCCGCCGCTGGCACGAGGCCGCCTCCCAGCCAGCTCTCTGGCACACCGTGACCCTGTCTCCCCCACTGACCGGCCTGCCCACCAAAGGTGGGGCCAAAGCTGGCGGGGCCAAGGCGGAAGAGAAGCTCCTTGCCTCCCTGGAGTGCCTTATGCCTAGTCGGTGAGGAGCCCCCTCTTCTCCTGACTGCCTCACTCCACCTGTGTTGTGTGGAAAGCCCCAGGCACCTTCCTGTTCCCCTACACCAAGGTGATGGGGGGGAGGGGAGGACACAATGCAGCTCTGCCTCTGCTGTCCGCCCAGGTTCTCACAGCTCCAGAAGCTGACCCTCATCCACTGGAAGTCCCGGGTACACCCCGTGTTGAAGGTGAGAGCTCGAGGCTGCCCTGCACGCCAACTGTGACACTGTGGGGTTGCCCAGTACTTCCAGGGAGTGGGTGAGGCACCAGGGGACCCAGTGCTGTCCCATGGGGATGCTGGCCTGGTTCTCCTTTCCTGTTTCCTCCAGCAGGGAGGTGTCAGAAGCGGGAGCACCTGGGTAGAAAGGAGGTCGTAGCTGAGGCAGTAGAGGGGCATAAAGTGGCAGCAGCCACGGGTATCTTTCCCTTGTGGACATCCTCCCCTTCCCCAATCTGCTGGTCCTCTGTCTTCTACAGCTGGTTAGCGAGTCCTGTCCTCGGCTCACCTTCCTCAAGCTTTCCGATTGCCACGGTGTGACCCCTGACACTCTGATCGTGCTGGCCAGAGCCTGCCCCCAGCTCCACAGCCTGGATATACAGCACTCCATGGTGAGCCCTTTGTCCCCAGGGACCCCGAAGAAGCCCAGGCCAAGGTGACAGGCCCCTCCTGTGCTGGGTCCCCAGGTGGAATCCACAGCCGTGGTGAGTTTCTTGGAGGAGGTGGGCCCGCGAATGCGCAAGCTGTGGCTGACCTACAGCTCCCAGACGACAGCCATCTTGGGTGCATTGCTGGTAGGTTGGTTACAGGCAGGAGCAGAGCGGGTGCTGAGCCAGCGACTGCCAGGCACTGAGCACGTGTCCACCCTGTCACCTGCAGGGTGGCTGCTGCCCCCAGCTGCAGGTCTTGGAGGTGAGCTCAGGCATCAACCGCAACAACACCCCCCTCCAGCTGCCTGTGGAGGCCCTGCAGAAAGGCTGTCCCCAGCTACAGGTACCTGCCGCCCTACCTCTCCCACCTGTCACGTCCTCCCCACCTGCAGCCTGGGCCTTGCTCCCACCCAGGTGCTGCGGTTGCTGAACCTGATGTGGCTGCCTAAACCTTCCGGACGTGTGGTGACTCCTGGCCCAGGCTTCCCCAGCCTCGAGGAGCTCTGCCTAGCCGGCCCCACCTGCAGCTTTGTGAACGATGAGGCCCTGGGCCGCCTGCTCCATGGCTCCCCCAACCTGCGCCTGCTGGATCTACGTGGCTGTGCCCGAATTACACCTGCTGGCCTGTGTCACCTGTCGTGTCAGGGTCAGCTCTCCCTGGGGGTAGCTGCTGGGCAGGTGCGATGTGGGGACCCTTACCCACCCGCAGCTCATGCCCACCCCTCTCACCTCCAGAGCTGCAGCAGCTCCATCTGGGCCTGTACGGCATGTCGGACGGGCTGACCCTTGCCAAGGAGGGCAGCCCCCTGTTGACTCAGAAGTGGTGCCACACTCTGCGGGAACTGGACTTGAGTGGCCAGGGCTTCAGCGAGAAGGACCTGGAGCAGGCCCTAGCTGCCTTCTCAAGCACCCCTGGCCACTCACACCCGGCCCTGTGCTCCCTCAACCTCAGGGGCACCCGGGTCACACCAAGCACAGTCAGGTCAGCACCCCTCCCTCAGTTTCTTGGAGCCAGTGTGGTTTTCCCCCCGTCCTGCCTCCTTGCCAGTTCCAGGGGTCCGAAAGGGGAGCTCATACCGGCCAAGCCCCTGCTTGGGGTTGGCCTTGGGGACACCAAGGGTCTTGGAATTGGGCCTCGGTGACTTGGGTGGCAGGGGCCTGGGCCTTCTGGGAGCCCATGGCTCAGCCCCCCATGCCTGCTGTGCCCCCACAGCTCTGTGATCAGCAGCTGCCCGGGCCTTCTGTACCTCAACCTGGAGTCCTGCCGCTGCCTTCCCCGGGGCCTGAAGCGGGCCTACCGGGGCCCAGAGGAAGTCCAGTGGTGCCTGGAGCAGCTGCTCACCAGCCCCCCCTCCCCTAGCTAGGAGCCCACCCTGACCCTTCCCGTTTTGGATGTTGGAGTACTTTGTTACAATAAAACGTTTTTAAGAACTCTGTGTGGTCCTTGGGGTTGGGTTGAGGGCACAGGCTTATACCTGAGGGAACCACTCTGGGCTACAGCTGGCCTGGAGCCTGTGTTGTTTTTTGGGGTAGTCCCCCAAGGCCCCTGAGTCTGCCTGTGGCTCTTGTGCCTTGCCTGCTCACTGCTGGGCTGGAATCTTGGGCTGAGTGCATATGTGTCCCACCCTCAGGGATACTGAGGCACGCTGTCTGGTTGGTTGTGAGGCTCTGGTCTGGGCAGGTGTGGAGAGGGGGGAGGGGAGGCCCTGCCCAGCCATGGGGTTTGGTGTGGGGGACCTGCCTACAGATTTCAGTCCATCTTAGGCCTGGATGTCTCACCACCCTATCCTTCTGGTAAGGACTAGAACCAGGCTGTACACGGAGCCTCCGGTGGGTGGGGTGGGGACTAGCATGGAAGTGCACGCCCACCTCAGAGGCCTGGCCAGGGGACTCCAGAGAAGGGATGGTCAATAATACAGCCCCTTCTAGAATCTGCCACCCAGGGCTTCTAGAACTCAGACGCAGCCCAGCCTGGACGCCACCTGGTGGTGATCTCCTGCCTGTTGCCTGAGAGCTCCAGCTCCTTTCTGGACCACAGCCCTGGAAACTTTCTTCTCCCAGGTAGGAGTGCGCCTGTGGGCAGCGGGTCACGGTACATGAGGCGCCCAGCTGACCACCTGTGCCTGACCCAGGCCCAGGCCCCCAAGGGCCAGGCCAGTGGCCTGCCCACGACGTCTCGCGGCAAGCGCTTCCAGCTCTGGGCCTTAGGACTCTTCTGCACCGAGCGCCACCTGGCCAAGCGCCTCAAGAACAACAGCTTCTACCCATTCACACAGCAGCAGCCCCATGGTGTGTTAGGCGGGCGGCCGTACCCGAAACCTGAACCGGTTGGGGCGGGAGATCCGAACTAAGAGGGCTGGATGTGGGGGTGGGGCCGGCTGGTCCCGCGGTGCGGTGGGCCCCCGCAGAAACTGCAGGCTGGATGCTGACTGCACCTGGAGCCCTGGCACTGTTACCCCGGGCTGCGGGCTGCGGACTGGCTATCCTCATGTGGCCCCGCCGCGCCACCTGCAGTCTTTGTGCTCGAGTACTACCTGGACACGCTGTGGAAGGGAATGCTGCTCTTCGTCGTCTGTCTCTTCCTTGTCAGCTTCGGTCTCGTGAGCCAGGTCTGAGCTCCTGGCCCCCCCCCCCCCGGGCTGAGCCGCGTGCCCCTCGCCAGCCTACGGAAGGTGCTTCTTCCAGCTGGTTCTGTGCGGCCACAAACTGGAGCCTCTGGTGCTGGTGCATCTGTCAGAGCGCTACGAGGTGGGTCCCGCCCCGGCCCACCCCAAGCCCAGACACGCTGCTCTCCCCTCTTCAGTTCAACAGGATGAGCACGGCTTAGGGTCTTAGGGTGGGGCCATTTCACAGGCAGAGGATGAATACAACGCGGGCCGCGGCCCGCCTTTGCGCTGGAGCAGTGGGGAGGGCTGGAGAAGTGGTCTGGTGAGGGGTGCCGCGGCGGGGCCTCTGCTGGGCGGGGACTCTGCTGTCCCGGCGGGAGTTGACTGCCGCCCGCGCCCACAGCAAATGGAATTCCTGGGCCGTCACATCGCCCGGAAACTCAACATTAACTACTTCGACTGCCTGGACACGTCCTACCGGCACGTGGTCCGCCACTGGCCGCTGGGGGTCGCCTTCAGCCCAGGCATCGTGCAGCGCAAGACTAGAGACTACGACAAGCCAGGTTCTCAGCCTGACCTGGACGTGTGACGCTGCGGCCGACACCCCACCCCTTCCCTCACCCCCAGGACTGCATTCTCCCTTCCCCTCCAGTCTTCCACCTCCACCCGCTGCTGGCTGTCCTCTCAGTAAACTGCTTCTCGCCTCCAGCAGCGGTTTTCTCTGCAGGGGGTGGGGACGGGCTCCAACTTCAGGATCCTCCCGGAGTGCACACCTCCCAGGGCCTGGGGAGGCAGTCGGAGAGCGACCCCCCCCCCAGTCTGGGTTGGAAGATGTGGGTAGCGGTGGGTGTGGGAGTGAGGGTGAGCAGCATCCAGGACTCTAGGAGGCGGGACCCATCATGGGACAGGCATGGGACACACTGCCACTCTTGGCCTGCAGCACGGAACTGGTCCTACCTGGTTTCAGAAATGCAGACCAATTAGTGGGATCCAGGATTCAGACTCTGGTCCAGCCTGGCTCAGGTGCCTGTTCCTAGTCCAATCAGCAGTGGGATAGGATGCATCCACAGGTGATGCCCTGTGCCTGGAGGTAAGACACTTCCAAAGGTGCTGCTGCAGAGTGCCTGCTGGGGGGTACACCCATGCGGTCCCTGGAGCTTGTTCCCAGGTGCCTGCTGGGACCCCTTGTTTGGTGGGTGTTCCTGCCTTCTGGGTGCTCGGAGCTGCTGTGGGAGCAGAGAAGGCCCTGGGCCATGGGACCCAGGAGGAGTGGCACCTGGCCCTGTCCACCTGGGTGTCCTAGTCAGGGCCATTCAAAGTGAAAATGCAGAGCTCCTTGTTAAAAAGTTATTAAGAATTCCCATAGGGGCC